GTTTGGACCAAACTACAACATTTTGAAGAGGAAATAAAATTCCAGAGAAAAAGAAGATAGTTTGAATACTGTTTTAGAAAGGATATCAAGTTGATGCTTTATCAATCATTTGTCAAAATGAATATTGAAATTTTTATAGATTCTTGTTAACTTGTAATGATAATTTTTTGATATTTTTATTATAAAACTGAAATTTTTTAAATTTATTAGATTTATAATCTAATATCTAAGAGTATGCATTTATTATTATTTTAGGAAATTCATAAAAATATATTTACAGAAAATGAAATTTGAGAAAATTAATAAAAAATGAACTTATTAAATAATTATATATATATAAAAATTTTCAAACAAAGTTTATTTTAAAAACTAATTACGTGATTTTTATTCAAAAAAAAAAAAGATATTAAATTTTCGCTGAAGGTAAATGATAAAGAGATTTAATTAAAAACGATAATTGTACATTTCATTTAAACGTGAAAATCCATAAACACAAAATAAGAGATTAATTAAATATAAATGCGAAACGGATAAGGCGAAATAAACAATAATTAACGTATGATAACATCAATTTGTGATAATAATTCAAATATTAACAATATATAAATGAAAACCTAAGTTGCTCGAGGATAAAATTGAACATCAAATATAATGAATTCGTGGAAATAATATTTAAATGGAATAAATATTGATTCAACTTAATTATTAATTATCGATTTGTTTTAAAAAAATTATATTCCATATTCAAAATTCGCAATTATTTCCGATAAAAAGTTAGATTGTCTTAAAATAAAAATTTAATCAAGTTCAATAATTTAATATTTAAAATTTTGTATATCAGAAATTTTAATTTTATATTTCTTATATTTAAAGATATTGGAAAATAGATATTGGTTTCGTAATAGAATGGAAAACAGGTGTAATATTTCATAATTCTTCGATATCTGGAATAATCTTTTAATCTTGATGAATATCGTAATATGAAACATTCCTATTCGGGATATATTATTCGTGAAAGAGGAATCCTGATAATATTTATTTCGTTTGTGACGATGGATATTAAAGTTTTCACAGGAGGCATCGAGTTCGAGGCGTTGGCGTGCTTTTTCTTTTGATCTCTTTTTATCTATGTTCCGTCTCGCTTCGCATTCGGGACATTCGTTTTAAAATGTGGGTCAAAATCATAAAATTAAAGCTTGGGAGGCCGGCGATAAAGGAAGCGTGCTCAGTTACTACGAAAGAGGGAATAAATGCGATCGTTTCCTTTCTCACGTATCACTGAAAAAAATCTACATCAATTTCTCCTTTTTACTCGATTCGACTGTAATGTTCTAAATAATGTTCTAGGTAATATCTGTCGAGATAAATTAATGTAATGTAATGTAAAAGTAATATTAATGTTTCATTAAATTTATTTGAACTTCATTCGTTATATATAAAATTTATTATCTATAAAAGAATAATAAAATGTATAATTTGTGTTATGTGTAATTTATATTATTATACGTACTATTATATTACATTTTAATTTTCTGAATATCGATTATTGGTAAATTACTGATCAGTAAATATACCATTGGTCAATTAATGGTCAGACATTGGATAGTCAGTAGATGTAGTCAACCAATGGTCAGTCAGTCATTCAAAACCTGTTATCAAATAGAATTATTTATAAATAAAAAGACAATAATATTATGATCAAAATTAAAAATAACAAATAAAAATTAGTTATCCAAAGTATTATTCAGAAACAATTCAAAATTAATTTCTATATTGTATTTAACATAGAATGTTTCCTAACCTATAATCACCAATTTCGGAAAGTTTTAAAGAAAATAGTTTTTGAAGAGATATTAAAGGCAGAAAATAAATTCTGAACTAATTAAACCGAGAATCAACATATTTCACATTCCATATAGGAATTTCCTTCGAGCAGTGATCATTAAAATAGAGAGGCAATGAATTTCTTAATATATAACTTGGAACAAATCTCATTTTCTGATTCTGAAAAAATTTATGAAAAATATCAAATATGCAAAACAATATAAAATAAAACTGAATCGAAACGAAGTCTTTCCAAATGTATCAGTTAGCTTAATTTTACACAATAATAAAACAATAATAGAAATATATATAGTTTTATATCTTGTGAGATTGACGCATGCTTGCAGAGTTGCCAGGCTTTCGAGAACTCGAGTATCGAAATAAGACCCACTCTGTCTTTGCGATAGCTAGACGAAATAAGATAGTTGAGAAAAGGATGGGTGATGTAATCAACCGGCATAGTAAGGATTACACCTGAATAGCCAATATCCGTGAATCCTCAGTATTGTCACGAATAGCGTAACGTGTTTGGCTTGAATCCCAGCTTAAAATTTTCAACTCGACTAAAGAGATATATACACGTATGTACGAATACTATTTCAATGAGATTAACTTCCCGACTATGTTGAGATTTAACAGATTTTAATATCAAAGAAGAGGATTTTAATATGCGTGTCAATTTAATTGAATAAAATATGGATAATATGAATTTTCTCTTCTATATGCAGAAAATATATGAAGGTTATGTTCTTAAACATAATTTCATATTTTTAAGTGATATATTCTTAATTCTTTTATAAAAATGTTATAATATTTATATAGAAAAATAAAAAAAAATAAATTTAAATGTAAATCCCTTTCTAATATTATTTGAAACAATCAATATTTTTAACAAAGTAAGTTTATTTTTATTGACTTATTAAAAAAAAAGAAATTTTGCATGCATTTAATCTAATCTAACTCATTATTTCATTAAAATGAATTATATGATTAATAAAAATCAACATTATAAGAATTTTATTATTAGCCTACCTAAAATAACGAAATAATTTCATATAATTATATTTCTAACCTAAAAATTCAATTTAAATTAAAATAAAATATTCTTCAATTTTTACATTGCAAACTGCAGATTACGTGCATTTCGCGCATAAAATCAAGATAAAATACTTGACATGTTTGAAATAAGTGATAATTTGAGACTCGAAAGAACATTGCAAAGCGTCAATTATAGAAATGAAGTCCACGCGAAGGCCTAAATCGTGGCATCTTCTAGGCGATCTTCCGATGGAAGTTTCCTCGTTACGAACTTTCATCGCGTCGCACGTGATACTTCGGAATCTCGACGTTAACAGCAGCTGGCTGCAATATACCAGAATCAAGTGCTCTTAATCAAAAGCCTGCTCGAGGACGAGCATGAAAATAAGTGGAATGGATTACGGTCGTCCTCGAAGGGCATTTCAGATTGCTCGATGCCCAGCAAGTTTTTTGCGAACTTAATTATTTTTTTTTTTTTTTTTTTTTTTTTTTTTTTTTTTTTTTT